GTGAGTTCAAGGCCACACTGGAAACAGCCAGGCATGATGGCACACACCTTCAGTCCCAGGACTTGAGATCTTATGTCTTGCTTGGGAAAGACATGCCTTTAATCTCAGGAAGTGATAGCAGGAAGCAGAAAGGTATATAAAACATGAGGACCAGGAACTCGAGTCTGGTTAAGCTTTTAGGCTTTTGAGCAGCAGTTCAGCTGAGATCAATTCAGATGAAGACTCAGAGGCTTCCAGTTTGCGGAAACAGGATCAGCTGAGAAGTTGGCGAGGTGAGGTTAACTGTGGCTTGTTTTTGCTTCTCTGATCTTTCAGAAATCACTCCAATACCTGGCTCCGGGTTCAGGTGTGGGACTTTGTCACTTCTGCTTCTTTGTTCTGGGGCTTTGTCTGGCTTGAAATTGTTTCAGGTCTGTGAATGCTGCCAAAATCTCTGAGGTCGTATGTACACCATTCCTGTCCTGTGTAGCAGGTACTGTTTCCTTGGAGTGGTCCATCAGCTTTGGTTCTTAGGCTCATTCTGCTCTCCTGCATAGATCCTTGAGCCTGGAGGAGAATGAAGACATCCAGAGTGCTCCAAGGTCTGTCACTTCTGCACATTGTCCAGTTGTGGGTCCCTGTGTTAATTCACATCTACTGCAAGAAGAAGCTTCTGATGCTCTTATCTTTGGGTATAGCAGGATATCATTAGGAATCATGTTATTGTTGTGTTCATTTAGTAGAATAATGAGGTACTTGGCCTCATTAACAGTGTCAGGCTTGGGTTGCATCTCCTGGAACCTGCCTTAAATACAATAAAAGAGTGGTTGGCTACTATCTTAGTTAGGGCTTCTATTGCTGTGATAAAACACCATGACCAAAAACCACCTGGGGAAGAAAGGTTCACTTTATTTCAGAGTGTAGTACTGAGGGAAGTCAAGGCAGAAATTCTAACTGGGTGGAAGAAGCTGATACAGAGGCCATGGAGAAGTGCTGCTTACTGGCTTGTTACTTGTGGCTTGTTCAGCCTGCTTCCTGCAGTACCCAGGAACCAAACTCCCAAGGGTAGCATCACACACAGTGAGCTGAGCCCTCCCATTCATCAACCAAGAAAGTACACCATATGCTTTTCTATAGGCCAGTCTGTCTGGTGCCATTTTTTTTCTTTTCTTTCTTTCTTTTTTTCTTTTTCTTTTCTTTTCTTTTTTTTTTTTTTTTTGGTTTTTCGAGACAGGGTTTCCCTGTGTAGCTTTGTGCCTTTCCTGGAACTCACTCTGTAGCCCTGTGTAGCTTTGTGCCTTTCCTGGAACTCACTCTGTAGCCCAGGTTGGCCTCGAACTCACAGAGATCCGCCTGGCTCTGCCTCCCGAGTGCTGGGATTAAAGGCATGCGCCACCACCGCCCGTCAGAGTTTTACTCTTGTTTTTTTTTTTTTTTCCAAGACAGGGTTTCTCTATGTAGCCCTGGCTGTCCTGGATCTTGCTCTGTAGACCAGGCTGGCCTCGAACTCACAGAGATCCGCCTGGCTCTGCCTCCCAAGTGCTGGGATTAAAGACATGTGCTACCACCGCCCGGCTGGTGCCATTTTCTTAGTTGAGATTCCCTCTTCCAAAATACATAAAGTTAACATAAAAATATCCAGCACAATTGCTCTTTTAGATTTGTGCCATCATTGTATCAGTGGGTCTTTTTACAGGCAGATCTCTTTTGTAGGTTGCTGGGTTTGTAGCTAAATGAGATTGATGATTACTTTTCACCTCCAGTAGTGTGTATAGTACCTTCAAACACTATGAATACTAGTCAATAGCAGTGAACCTTCTAGTTGGGCATAAGTTTCATTTCTCCTTTGATAATGTAAGTAAATTGTGTCTTTAACGATGAGGTGTTACCTTCAGGTTGTCGATGGTAACCAGTAGCCTTGGTAATAGTGTGTAATATTTGGGGAGATCTGTGGGACCCCTTTAGCCACCTTAAAAACATGTAACCCATTCTTGGTAATAGGGGTTTTATTTAGTAGCATATGATGTCTAGTTGGGTAATGTTCCCCCATTATATGATAGCTCCATTTAGATATGTGTGTATTTTAGGAAGCTTCTGTAGTAGTAGGTATCCATATGGCCTTTTAATAGGTCTTTAGTGTTAATTACCCCCCTGTATTCTGTCTTCTACTCTGCCTTACCTTCCCTCCCCATTTAATTCTATTCTAGTTTCCCCTTTATCCCTTTATGACACTGTGTTCTATTTCCCCTCTGAAGATCTCCTTCCCTGTTCCTCCCTTATCCCTTTCTAGTTAATCTCTGGATATTCTGAATGAAATACACATACCTAAAACTTAAAAGCTAATATTCACATATTAGATGATTGTTTCTATCTTTGTCCATTTACCTACAAATTTCATCTTTTTACAAGAGCTGAATAATATTTTATTGTGTAAAAGTACCAGATTTTCATTATCCATTCATCATTTGATGGGCATTGAGGCTGTTTCCAGTTTCTGGCTATTATGAATATAGCAGCAGTGAACATGGATAAGCAGGTGTCTCTGTAGTAAGATGTAGAGTCCTTTGGATATGTGCCTAAGAGTGGTGGTATAGGTGGATCTTATCTATTTTCAGCTTCCCGCGGAACCTCCACACTGATCTAAATAGTAGCTGTAGAAGGTTGCACTCCCAGGAATAAGTGTTCCCCTTTCTACAAATCTTCCACTATTTGCTGTCATTTTTTTTATTAATCTTGGCCATTCAGACTGGGGTATGATGAAATCTCAAAATAGTTTAAATTTGCATTTCCCTGATGACTAAGGAAGTTTAACATTTTATAGGTGTTTCTCAGCTTTTTGTCTTAGATCTTTTGAGAGAACTCTGTTTAATTCTATGCCCCATTTTTAAATTGGATTGTTTTCTAAACATTCAGTTTGTTGAGTTCTTTGAATATTCTAAGTATGAAACCTCTGCCATATAAAATTCATAAAGAATTTTATTCTTGAGGCTACCTACCTCTTCGTTTAGTTGATGATATCCTTTGCTATATGGAAACTTGAGATTCATTGAGGTCTTGTTTATTAATTGTTGGTTTCAATGCCTGCAGTGTTCAGGGTCTTGCTCAGAAAGTCTTTTCCTGTGTCAATAATTTCAAGCCTATGTCCTGCCATCTCTTCTATCAAATATAAGGTGTCTGGTCTTATGTCGAGTCCTTGATCCTTAAGTGTTGTGTTGATTTTCTTTCTTCGGTGTCTTAAAGTTTTATTATATAAGTCTTTCACTTAGAGTATTACAAGGTATTGGTTTTTTTTTTTTTTTTTGAGGTTATTGTGAAAAGTGATGTTTCTCTGATTTCTTTCTTAATATGCTTGTCATTTGTATGTAAGACAGTTACTGGTTTGTATGTGTTAATTCTTTAGGCCGTTACTTTGTTGAAAATTTTTTTAATTGTAGCAGTTTCCTGGTGGTGTCATTAGGGTCTTTTATGTATAAAATCCTATTGTCTACAAATAAGGACAACTTCTTTCCCTTGATTTCTTTCGGTTGTCTTACTGCTGTAGCTAAGACTTTATACACTGTATTGAACAGATATAGAGAGAATGGACTTCCTTTTCTGGTTCATGATTTTAGTAGTATGCTTTGAGTTTCTCTATGTTTAAAGTGATGTTGGCTGTGGACTTGCTGTAAATTGCCTTTGTTATGTTGAGATATGTCCAAGGTATCCCTTTTTCTCTAGGACCTTTTATCACGAAGGGATGTAGAATTTTATCAAAGGCCTTTTGTGAGTGGAAGATTTAAGTTAACATGCAAAGTAGTGGGCTGTAGTATGACATTTTCATGCATATGTGTTACTGTATTTTGTAGATTCATTTCCCTTGGCTACTCTCACTTATTACTCCTGTCCTGTACCCTCTTGCTGGTCTCTTTCCCCCTTCAAACAATCCCCTAGTTCTGCCTTAATGTCATATATTCTGTTAACCTCTCTACCCCTGCAAGATCTCTTCCTTCTTGATCATGATTCCCTTTGTACTTTCTTCTGTCTGTCTCTCAAACACACGCACATGCCACACACATGAACACACACACAATGCACTTTTCTGCAGATGTTGTGTTTTCATTTATCATTATGGCTGCACAAAATTCTATTGTGTATTTGAACCATATTTTCTTTCATCTGCTCATCTGTTGATGGACATCTAGGCTAGTTCCACTTCCTGACAGTTGTGAATAGTGAGATTATATGTGGTGTGTTGACTTATCCAAGAGTGATATAGCTGGCTCATACAGTAGTTGTATTTTCAGTTTTTTGAAGTATCTGTATTCTTTTGTAGTGACTGCAGCAGTTTGCATTTGTACCAGCAATATATAGTGAATGGAAACAATAGAGAGGGTGTTAATACCCCCTTTCTTCTGCTTTTGCCCTTTTCGACTTTGAAAGCCAGATTGCTTTGACAACATGATTTTTTTTTATACCATTCTGAGTAAACTTGCTATAACTGTAAAAATGCCCCACAATGTACCCTCAATGAGAAAGTGTTAGGGGCTTACCAACTCCAGGTTGAAATGACCGTATAACCTAAACCATGCAGATTTTTCTGACTCAAATACTCCTTATTTTTTCTTTATTTTTAATTTAAAAAATATGTATATGATGTTTTGCCAGCATGTATGTCTGTGCACATGTGTGTGCCTAGTAATCACAGAGGCTAGAAGAGGGCATGCGAGCTGGAATTACAGGTGGCTATGGACTATCATGTGGGTGCTGGGAGTAGAACCTGGGACCTCTGGGAGCAGCCAGTAATTTTAAACTGAGTCATCTCTCCAGCTCCATCATTATCTTTTAAGTGACCAGTAAAATATGCACTTATGCCTAGTCTATAAAGAGCACCACTATCTACTGTTTATCTCCAGGTAATTATTGGTACCATGTCTTAAGGAAACACTTTTCTGTCCCCTGGAGTGAGAGTTGAAGACTCGAGTTTCACCTTTCTAAACTGACTGGGAGGTGTTCTAAACATGTATGTGGCTTTGTCTTTGTAGACTGAAATCGCCAAGAGATTGAATACCATTTGTGCACAAGTCATCCCATTTCTGTCTCAGGAAGTAAGTAAAATGTTCAGCTGTTAAAGTGCAATTATGTTGCTTCTCTGTTTGCAAATTAGCCAGTTTTAAGATGTTAATTTTACCACAAGGAGTAAGTTTGAAGAACATCTGTTATATTTGAAGTGTGTCAACCCTGTCCTTCTGTCTAAAGCATCCAAGGGCAGGCTGCTCGAGGGGTGGCAGTTTCTCAACCCCAAATTATTATTATTATTATTTGGAAAATTGCACAGTGACTATCAAGCATAAAGAAAGCTTTGGTGTGTGTATGTGTCTGTCTGTCTGTGTGTCTGTGTGTATCTCAGTATGACCTGGAAATCATTAGGTAGGCCTCAAATTCACAGAGATCTGTTTGCCCCTCCCTCTTCAGTGCCTGGATTTAAGGCCTGTGCCATCACTCCTGGCTGTGCATGTGTTTAGGTAATATGTGCTTGATATGATTCACGTACCCTTATGTGTTTTCCTGAGCCTACTTGAAAGTGACTGCACTGGGGTTGATCTACATGAAAGTAGGCACTTCATTTATCACATGCATTCCATAGAGAGAGTAGATGATAATCATCATAAAGATAAAATAAGTATTCACATGGTTTTGACTCAGTCATAGGCATAGATAAACCAGGTAGTTTGAGTTGACTTTAACATTTGCGGAGGGGGTACTTCATAGGAGTCATTGGAGATTGACTCAGCATTATATTTCAATTTTGTTTGAAAGTTTTACCTTCTTTCTAGGTACAGGGGAATAATGTGCTTTCAGTATGTAAATATGAACGTATGGTGCTGTGGGGGAGGCCCAGCTGGTGGGAGGTTAAAAGAGTATTGGATTTGGCTGTAGAGTACCCTGAGTTCCCTGATTTGTTGCCAGTTTTCAGTGACCTTGGCTTCTACTAGCCTCCTCAAATTGACTGTGGCAATATTTTAGTTATGTTGTGTAGACTTGGGGAGTGGGCAAGGTGAGTTTTCATTCTACAAATTGAAAACAGAGCTTTCTTTGTCCTTGAAGGGTGAAACACCAAAAGGCTAAAATAAGTTACAGAGAGAATTCCCATAGTTTTTTAAAAAAAAAATGGCTGAGTTTTTTTTTTTTTAATCAGAGAAATCACAGACTGACTATGTTTTTAGTATCAAGATGGATGTTTGAATTGTTAATGAACTTCATGCACCCAAAGGCACCCACTGTGAAGTCCTGTGAGCCCTAGCTGTCCTGCTCTGTGTAGTGTCCAAAGACTCTAGTTACTACTCTTGATGTCCCTTCTGATATTACCACCCCACAGTAGTTCAGTGGTGACAGGAACCTTTCAGAAATAAATGGTAGCACCATTCCATGGCCCCTCCTTTGTGTTCTGTAAAGTGACACGTGCATGAGGACCTGCTTATCTGTCTTTGTTGTCAGAATGAACAGGGAAATTCTTAGCTGTTGCTAACACATTTTCTTCTCCTTGTTTTCAAAGCATCAACAACAGGTGGCCCAGGCTGTGGAACGTGCCAAACAGGTGACCATGGCAGAGTTGAATGCCATCATCGGGGTACGTGGCCTACCAGGTCTACCTCCTGCAGTGTGTATCACCAGCTTTCATTTCTTTATGGTTTGATGGCATAACACACACACACACACACACACACACACACACACACACACACACACACACACACCCCTGAGTTCACAACTAAGTTTGTGTTACTTAGAGATGACTTACTTGATTAATAAGGGAGGGTGAAAGGGGGTTTGGGTGTGTGGAGATGTGTAGAGGAGAGGACATAGTAGCACAAGGAGGATGAGATGAGAAGCACTAGAAGAGGAAGGAAAATAACTTCTATATCCTGTGATACTTAAAACTGCCCTCGCTGTCAGTGAGGTCGAGGCTGTTGATCAGTTTCTCAACACTCTTCCTTGCTTCTGTCTAGTACCCTTCCACCACAGTGCGGTCAGTATAGGACTCTGAGTTATTCCCGGAGTTGCCTTTGCCTTTTGCTTTCCAGGGCACTGGAACCTATGTGGTTTTTTGATTCTTCCTTCCTGTGCCCCTTTCATGAATTTTAAAGTGGCATACCAATGAAAAGCTCCCTCGCCAGGGAAGGAGTGTTAATTGTCTGCCCCTAGTGCTCTGTGACCTTTCAGGGTTCACATCTCCTCTGGAGTTTAGCCATCTCTTCTTGCTGGTGAAGCTGGTTTCTGTTGTCAATCACAAGTCATTTGTTCTGCATTAAGGGATCTAGTGAACCAGGCATTCTGTCTCTTTCTTTGCTCGAGTTTGGCCCCACCCACTGCAGGACCTAAGGTGGTTCTCATGTGCTCTGCCCCTTTTAGACTAAAGGAAAGAAGTGGCTGAAATTGGATGGGGAGGTCACTTTTTTTTATTCATATGTGAGTTCCTCCAATGGATTCAAAATCACTCATTTATCAATTTATGTTAATTGCTTGTGAGAAGATGCCCTGCTGGTCTTTATAGTTCCCTCAGACACTTTGTAATGATAATTAGACATGCTGCTGTAAGGATTAAGAGTGCCATAGTCCAGTGCTGTGACAGACAATGGAACCAGTTAATCTATCAAGGTTTAAAATTACATCCCCACTGGAGATGGGAAAAACACAAGAGCCAAGGAGGATTAAAGAATGAGCCTCAGCTTGAAAACCCTCCTTTCATCAGTTTCTCAATTGCAGATCTGCAGTTGGGGTGCCTGTGGTAAGCTATTGGCAGTCAATTAGGTGAAATAAACTGGGAGGGTGACCTTCATTTCCTTTTAATAGCTTTTTCCTCCGTGAACCAGGGAGCTTCAGTGGATTTTCAGCTTAGATTTTATTCAAGCCGCTTTATTGCACTTGACAGCTTAGCTCTGCATAAACAGTTCTCCCTCCTTCCCCCAGGTCTGGGCTCTGTCTTTCTTCCCCTTCTGTATCACATTTTTGACTGTTACTTAGTGGGCTCTCTAATCACATTCAACCAAAAACACAATTATGCCTGCGTTTGTCTGCTGCCTTCTCTGCCCTTTTCTTGTGTAATGAATTGCTTTATTTCAGAGATCAAATCAAATATTCACTGGCATTTTTGCACGTACTGTGTTTGATTAGAAGAGACTAATAGCGATTGTACTTGTAGCTGGAGCAAGGAATTTTTTAACCCAAATGAATGAGGATGGAAAAGCCTGTTTTGATTAAAAGAAAACATATGCAAAGCAGATCTCAAGGGCCCTGTTCAACTTTGTGGGACATGTTTGTTTTCTGATAGGCTCTAAATTTTTACATGTAATTTTTCTGGTTTGTTTCTGGCAGTACTGGGGATTGAACATGGGGCCTCACACATAATAGGAAAGCACTCTGCAAGTGAACTACATGGCTAGCTATGTGTAATTTTTCAATAATAAAATGCTGGTTTAGAGTTCTCACAGGCACTGCCCAGACCCTGAGGGTCTTCTTTGAATCTACATTTCAGAAGGGGAAAATGTATTAGCCAGATATTTATAGTTAATATTCATTTTGAATGGAATCAGAAAATAAGAGTAGGTTATCTTAGAAGGGTGGATGAATTGCAAATTTTATGAATGGCTTTAGTAAACATGTTGAGATTATCAAGACAGATTTGCTTTGATAGCTTAGCAATAATAACCCAAGGTGGTGAATTGGGTCCAATGTAAGAGTTAATGCATTGGTGTGTTCAGTATTTTAGCATATGCAGTTTTTAATTTTTGAAATGGTGGGATAGGTATATTAATTTATGACAGGCTCTTTGAAAGTTTGCAGTGATCAGAAATAGCTCCTGCCTTTAGCTTCATGCTTTGGCATATGCTTGATTTTTTTGCTTGAAAAGAATTGCATGCATCCTGAAAAATCGAAGTAGCATAAAATTGGGCTGACAATTCAGTAGACCTTTGCACCCCTTCATTGCACATGCAGTGTGCCAGCTTGTCTGGCCAGAGGGGAGGAAGCACTGGGAGACTGTTCATACAGCAGCTGTGCAGAGAAAATGCAGCCTGTTTGATAGCAGCTGTCAGTATTGTTCTGGGATGGGTTAGGGGGAAGAACAATGGGAGAGGCCAAGCTCTTCATCTTCATTGACTTTCAGGCTAAGAAAAGAAAAGGTTTAGACGTCTATTTCAAGTGTGAAAGATCGTAAAAGAGAACGCTTTAAAATGCAAATGGACTGAAACCCTCACCTTCCCTTTAAGGTACAATCAAGGCCCTTATGGTTTGTCCCAACAGGGATAAAGATATTTTGTTTTAGCAAAGTAGCTTAGGCTTGTCAAGGACACCAAACTCTTGGTGAGCTCAGCTTGTATTCTTGGCCTCTGAGTGCTCTTTCACTAGAAGAGGAGGAAGGTTCTACTTTCTTCTGTCCTTGTTGAGTGAGTGATGGCAACTTCTTACCAGCATGTAAATGCTTCTCCAATCTAGGAGAAATACTGAATTTTAGTTCTTTTCTACTTGCCTTCAACCTTTATCTAGAATGCTAATATTTAAGGAATAGTTTTCACATAGTTAATTTTTGGATTTACTACTGAAATATTTTTGTTAACTTTTTTTTTTTTAAGGCACAATTTTACCATGTACCCTGGCTGACTCTGTGTAGACCATGCTGGGAGTGAACTCACAGAGATCCACATGTCTCTGCCTCCTGAGTACTAGGATTAAAGATCACCACACCTGGCCTTTTGTTGACCTATTAACAGCAGCTTTGATAGCAAATTTGGTGACTGGCATAATATTAACTGCAACACTGCTTTTTGAATCATACTTCTCAAAATCTCTTGCTGCTAATGTGTTCTGTTGTAATAATTTCAAGGATTTTTATTAATTTTTGAACTTGGTTTTATTTGTGTGGTGCGTGTGTGTGTGTGTGTGTGTGTGTGTGTGTGTGTGTGTGTGTGTGTGTTCATGTGCGCGCATATTCTCTCCTTCCACTGTTACATGTATTTGAGGAGTCAAACTCTGATCACTAGGCTTACAGGTAAGCATTTTACTGCTGAGCTACTTCCCTGGCCAGTAGGGATTTTTTTTAGTTCAGTTTTTCTCTCCATATATTAGTACTAAATTTACATCATTCCATCTTACTTTTCTTCCCCCAAATTCTTCTCTGTCCTCACTAACTTTCAAATTTATTGCCTCTTTAATTAATTAATCCCCCCTTCCTCCCTCACATGGCTCATGCAAGGCACACACACACACACACACACACACACACACACACACACACACACACGAAGTCCACATTTTTGTGTTGTTCCTATGTGTTTAGGGCTGACCACTTTGGATTAGATAACCTATTATGGGGCTTGTGGATTGTCACTTTTAGCAACCTTTAATTGATTTTCTCCCTTTATGTAGGCTTGGGGCCTGGTGAGATTTCCCCATTCAAATTGGGATGCCAACCAGTGTTGTTATTGTGCAGGTCTTGTTTTAGGCAGTCATATTATTGAGATTTCATAGATGCAGCCTCCTGTCAGTAGCTGTAAAACTTAGGAGCCACAGCAATCTCCACCATGGCAAGATAACACCAAGGGTACAATACTGGTACTTACAGCTTGGCAGTAACCAACAACTATCTAATTGGATGTAAGGGCCATTGTACAAGAGGGAATTCATGCCTTATGCTGCAAACGCAGCCAGTTACCTGTTGGTGGTGGGGTCATCAACCTTAGGAGAACATACTACTGCCATTTTTTAAACCAGTATTATTTCCCAATTTTATTCAAATACATACCCTTAGTAGTCACTAATCAGAATAGCTCTCACTTCTCATCAAACAAGCTTCTTTTTTTTTTTTACAGCAGTTGGAGGCCATTATAGTGCAAAGATCTTAACTGGCTCAGGACTGATTGGTTTCACACACAACTGCTGTTAAGAAAACACTGTGCATTGTGGGGAAGGGAACTCATTCATTTGAGAACTTGTTCTTGAAGGAAGAGCCATGTTGATTCCTACAGCAATAGTCTTAAAACTTTTTTCTTTTTTTTTAACTTTGATTTTTATTAAAACCTGAAAATAAAATCAGCTGTTCATGATGTAATATCTTACTAGTAGGGTGGCTAAAGGCTTTCTGAAACACAGAATTAAAGAACTTCAGGGTGAGTCCACATTCTGTTTGAGATTGGAACTAAACGCTCCTTTCACCCTGCTCCAATTTAATTGAGGTTCAAATAACTTTTTTTTAAAGCAGGTTATATCACAAAAAATTTGCTGTGGATCTCCATATGATTTCCAAATGTTTAGCCTGATCACTTATGGCCCCTTCATATATCAAGTACCATACTTGACAAGGGGCATGTGGTTTCTGTCACCCAGTATGTTCTCTGCTTTTTAGTAAATTTTACTGCATGCTGAAAGAAAATAGTTGGTTTTTGAGTGAAAATAATGTAATAATAAAAGCTGAGAGCCATTTTTCTCTTAATTTAAAGAAAACAGTTGCATGGTTGTGTATATTTTATTTCTGACCACCTGTTCCCTAATTTCTTGGTGTTTATACACAGTAGATAGATACATTGTAGTTTCCCAATCTGTAGATAGATAGCACATAACTTCATACCTTTTGAGGGGCTAAGACTTCGTCTGGAAAGCCTTCAC